GTGAGCAAATAGGTAGCCTAATTCTGATACATGCGATGACTATCCATTTTGACATGTAGGCAGTTTTATATTTATGTAGCCTACACAATATTAATCTTTTACATTGCAATCCTTTAATTTTTTATATTTGGCATGTTTGTGTGCTGCTGTGCGGCCCTGTGTGTGTAATAAGCAGAGTGTACACGTGCTGTGGACCCGCCTATACTAACGCGCTCTTTAAATAACAAAAAACTACTGCACCATTGCACTTTAGACCAGGTTTTTGTTGGTCAGTGGCGCAGTCTATTTCAGTTGCCTCAAAATAACAACGCGCCAGCAATGCCCCTGAACATACCTCATTTTCAGACCAGCACGCCCATGGGCGCACAAATGGGTGCAAATGCATTTGCTATTTAAACAACGTGGCGCAGGACGTGAAAATGACAACTGCGTCGGGCTGAAACTAGCAAACTGAAAACTTTCTTCTTCTTTTTTTTTTCGCCGGGTGTATGATAGGGCCCCATGTTTGTAAATGCTAATGTTTTTGTGTGTTTGAAGACCGGAGAAGTAGGTTATTTGCCGTCTAGCCAATATACTTTTGTATGTTTTATCCTGTGCATAAGTGCTTAATCGTTTATATCATGAGATTTTGGCCAAGTGTATTAAACGACAAGGAAAAACTAAGCGCCCATATAGCAACAATAAACTTTATATACCCTGTAAAAGTTGATGAAAGCGTATAATGCGATGCACTTGCCTTAGATGCTGCCGTTCTATTGACAGACAAAACGCAGATCTCCCTCATTCCCTGGGCAAAAACCTTGTTAACTCCATTTGAGCTTGTTTTTCATATAGCCTAATGTTAAGTGCAAGTGTCTGATAAAATAACACTGATGACGCAGTGTTGTTTAATTATTGACTTTTCTCCCCCAATCCCCCCCGCCGCCGCCGCCGCCATACCCTATGGTTTTGTGAAACGCTGCCACTGCTCATGAGTGCCGTCCACCATGTTTGTGCGGGTTGGATGCAAACAAAACAATGGATTATCATTATTTACCAAGAAATGTGGATGTATGGGGTCATTTCGATAAAGCAATACTGGCATCGTTGAGCATTTAAATTTTTATAATTTTTCTAGCGCAGAAGCTCATAAAGGAACGTGCAAAAAGTTAACTTCACGTGTGAGACTGCAGCTAACGCGTCTGTTTTGCCCGAAAACGTAAGTTAATAAATAAACAAGATCTTTTTCATCTTTGATCTAAATATTGTTATGTGGGTCTAGAGTGTTTACGCTGCAGAAAACTTTGATGAGAAACACTACGATCCGCAAACAAACAGATGAGGAAGAGGAGGAGGATGACGGTCCAGCGTATACAATGAGAAAGGTTTGTTTAAATTTTTAGCTTCCACATTCTTATTTGTATGCAATTGCAATAAGCAAAAGTTGTTTTTCTTCCATATTACTTAAATGACGTGAGAGAAGATGATTTGTATGTATTAGAGAAATCTTTGTTTTCAACTAAATACAGGTGCATCTCAATAAATTAGAATGTCGTGGAAAAGTTCATTTATTTCAGTAATTCAACTCAAATTGTGAAACTCGTGTATTAAATAAATTTAATGATGAACTTTTCCACGACATTCTAATCTATTGAGATGCACCTGTACATACGCTAATAATAAGCTAGTTTCAGTGATTTTAAGATGAGAAATGTACTGAAATCATATTAATATGCATCAGTATGTCTGAGATCAACTGCAATAGCTCTTTTACAGCTGCTAATGTGACCCTGGACCACAAAACCAGTCATAAGGGTAAATTTTTCGAAATTGAGATTTATACGTCAGCTGAAAGGTGAATTAATAAGCTTTCCATTGATGTATGGTTGGTTGGTATGATTGTTAGGATAGGACAATATTTGGCCGAGATACAACTATTTGAATATCTGGAATCTGAGGGTGCAAAAAAATAAAAATACTGAGAAAATCGCCTTTAAAGTTGTCCAAATTAAGTTCTTAGCAATGCATATTACTAATAAAAAATTAAGTTTTAATATATTTACGGTAGGAAATTTACAAAATATCTTCATGGAACATGATTTTTACTTAATATCCTAATGATTTTTGGCATAAAAGAAAAATCAATAATTTTGACCCATACAATGTATTTTTGGCTATTGCTACAAATATACCCGTGCTACTTATGACTGGTTTTGTGCTCCAGGGTCACAAATGTAAGCATGTCATCAAAATGTAAATGTAAGCAAAATGTAAGTACATGTACAGATGCTGCCAAAACACATGTAACTGACTACAACACAAACACAGCATCACTGTTTATCACTTCAGATGCTTCTTCACTCAGCATGTAAAGACGCACAGGAATAACTGATTATTTCTCTTAATGTGCCACAAATTTCTTTTAATATTTCTGTTTTGTAGTAATCAAGAGAAGTGTCATCGCTGAAGAAATGGCAGATGTCCTCAGACACCTGTGAACACTGAGCAGTGCTTGGAGTCCAAGACAGTGGACATCATCTTTATTATACCGGTACTTCTCTGACTGGACTAGCAAGGAGCAGAGCCAATGAGAAAGTTGGTAAGTTCAAGTAAATGTCAGCATGACCATTTCACCATGTTTTTTTTTCAGCAGTAACGGGGGGAAATCTTAACTGAAGGGAGCTATTGTTCAACAGCAAGCTTTGGATCTGCTGAGTGTGTATTTATCAAGCATTTTATTTTATTTTATTTATTATTTTTTCATATTATATTTTAATTCTACTTTATCTATATTTATCTTCTTCTTTAAAAAAAAATAGCTTTCTATTTTATCTACTTGTTTTTCTTTGTGTGTGTGTATAATATATATATATATATATATATAGTATATATATATATATATATATATATATATATATATATATATATATACACATACACCTTGCTACGTGTACTGCGTTAGGCTAACCGAGACTTGTCATTTGCACTTATATATTGTTGCTCTTTTCTTAGTTTTGACTACTTTTATTGTCCTCATTTGTAAGTCGCTGTGGATAAAAGCGTCTGCTAAATGACTAAATGTAATGTAAATGCATTTTATTGCAGCGTTCACTGTTATTTTTCTGCACTGTGATGATTAGCACTTATTGTGCTGTCATTGCAGTTAGTGCTGCTGTAAATAGTCTGTCAAACAACAGGTAGAACATATATATTTAATTTCATTCAGTTTGGCGCATTACGTATAGACCTAATAGATGCTTGTATATTTTTTGCTGTTTACAGGTGCAGAAATGAAAGCTCACAAAAACAATAATATCACCGGATTAAGATGCAGAAAGACAGTTACACCACCACAACCATAAATCCTGAGCGATTTGAAAATGAGCAACAACCAAGGAACAGTAATCATTGTTTCACTCAAAAATTATCCATGGTAATAGTTGTAAATAATTAGATAAAAGTACAAAATGTTTAATTTCCAAACTTTGCCATATACCAATGTGTTGTTCAAAACGCTTACAATAAGGTATCATTAGTAAATGTTGAAATTAACTAAAATGAGCCATACATTTGTTACAGTTTTAATCTTTGTCACTGTTTGTTAATAATAAAAAAATATGTTTTGTTGGTTCATCTTAGCTCGTATCCATTAAATAATGTTAACTGATACAACGTTTGTTTTTAATAATGTATAGTAAATGTTGAAATTTACATCAACTAATGTTAATATATGCTTTAGAAGTATTTGCCATTGTTAGTTCATGTTACGTAGGTAAATATGTTACCCGAGTGTTTAATGTTTATTCTTATTAAATTTTATAATCCAAGTATAAGTAAATGCAAAATGTGATGTTTTATAGCTATTTCTGTATAACAACTGTTGTTGTTTTTTGTTTGTTTTTGTTTTTTGTATTTTTGGCTGTAATTGTATAGTTTTGTAAATAAATTTTCTTCATGTCAACTTGATCAAGTGAGTTCTTTAAAATGGACTTTAAAATTGCATTCATCATAATCTACGTTAGATGTGTTAGGTCGTGTTATTTATGTATTATAGTATATATAATGGAAATGAAAGTAAACGTTTTGGCTGCGTATCAATTTTAAATGAAGGATTAGTGTACAGCAAAGTAGATATTAAAAATGAATCCGGGCCACGTCTGGCGCACTGTGCACTTCAGTGTCGGGCAGAGTGGTAAGTCTCCGGCAGGCGAGAATCTAACCGGAACTGGCCCGAGTGTATTTTGCTATCTGGGTACATACAGTTCTGTCGTCAGCTAAGTCATGAAATTACCAAAAAGACGATTAAAGCTGCAAACTGTGCACACATACGCAGCACACAAGAACGTCTCTCAAATGCATGTACTAAAATGTATTCTGCAATTCGAGATCACAATATAAGGTTACAAGCTGATATGTATTTTTTATTTGTAATTTAATGCAAAAATAAATGTGAGCACAGTGCACTTATACTAGAAAATATGCGAAAATGAAACCATTTAAATGCATAACATAACTCATTTTATATTCTGGCATTTATGTCTACTGTTGACTTCCGACCTACCTCACATTTTTATCACTATCTGCATGTCTCATCCATGAGTATGCAATGTTGGAGAGCAAGCATTTAGGAGTTTTGAGAAGCTGAATGAGCAATAAAGCTATAGTGAGCCCCTTTATTAAAATACATGGAGGTGAGGAATAATACAAAAATTGTCTTATTCACTTTACTTGATCTAATTCACAAATATCTCAATTACAGTTAAGTAGAAATTAATTGTACTCAGTTGTGTTTTAGGCACTAAAACAGTCCAGTACATTATAGTCAAACACATTTTTATATTGAAATAATGAAGATTTCTGTGCCAC